TGTAGCCACACAACGAATCACAAGGAGGCAGTGTTTGCACATATTTCTACCAGCCTGTGTATTTAAAGTACAATTTAATGAAATTTCATCATACAGAAAACCATTCTGAGTAGAAATCACATTGTGAGAAGCAAGATTTTTAAAGAGCTTTTACCTTAATAGGACACTTCTTTAATGTTCCATAAAGCTGTAGTACTGTGATACTACTAAGAAATGCCTTTTTACAGAAAGAAAGGACCAATTAACATAATTGAAAGGAACATGCAAGATTTTCTGCATACAAGCCTTTCTTCAGGTGTTCTTCCAATATCTTTATGCTATAACTATATATAACATATATAACTATAAAACTTGTTTCCATGAGAAAACTCTATTACATTTAACTAATGTTCCGATCACTGAGCAAGGAAATAAATTGGTAAATTTATTTCCAGTCTGGATTTGGCAATCTACATGACAATAGTTAGGTATAGCTTCATGAAATGCAAAGAATCACAGTCTATACTTTCAGGCGTTAATAACTTGCATCAGCAAATGCACTTTTAGGCTGATACAGTTCCAGGGGAATCTCTGATAGTAAAACATTACTAAAAACATATGTTTATTGATTTACCTTTTGCTTATCAAAAATTTAGCTTTAGATTATGCTTAAGAGAGCCTTTTACTAACTAACAGTGTTTATAATTAACATTTTCACAGTGATAACATATGCCTGATCTTTAAGAATTTCTAAAAACTGTACTACACTCTGGTTCTTTCCTGGGTGGAACTGCCCTGCCTTTTTGTTTGTTTGAAAATAAAAAAGTCATGAGACTTTGCATAACATCTACCAAAAGACTTGTTACCTTGGTTGTAAAAAAGCAAAGACTAGCCTACAGGGCTGGACAGGTTTGGTCTCTTTCTAGCACTCTCTTGATTTGCAAAAAGATAAACTGCAAAGCAGAGTTTATTAAACTTTTCACCCTTTTCCTCCTCTCGTGTTTCAGTTGTCAAATGGTCTCTTTTCCATTGCACTGAAATGCTAACATGCAAATGTTTGCAAATGAATGCAAAACACTCTTGGAACAACCATCAATAACAGGTAATGCTTATAGAGCATGTTTTGATCCAATGTGTGTTTGCTATTGCTTTGTTAGTAATAAGATAGAATTATGATTCTTCTCCCTATTCCAAACATACGTTTCTTGAATTCTGCTTTGCAATTCATTTCTTAGCAACTACCCTCCACTCATTGCCTCAGATCCTGTTCCCTAAATTTCCTTTTCTTTTCAGATTTGTGACTTTGCTAGACAAATAAGCTCCAAGTTGGAGTTGACCAAAATATGCTGAAATTCCATCTTCTGATTCCTAAATTTCTGAGGTAATTGATTGGCTCAGGCTATCTGTCCCAGGAGTTATAAGTATACACATCATTCACTGTTGACCAAATTTAATATTGCAATTCCTTGAAATTGTATGTACTGCAGGTACAGTACTATCCCTTACGAAACTTACCATGTTAGATGACATCTCTGTCAAAAAAATGGAACGTAAAAAAAAAGGTAATACAGCAATAATATTGCTTGTAATGAAGCAAGATGCTGAAATAATATATTTTATGATAATGTTCTGTCCTTCCTATTTCAATAGAATCTATACTTAATTTAATGCATTGCAGGATAAAATAAGATTAGTTTATGTTAAATATTCGATAGAGTCCATGGAGTAGAACAAGAGTAATATACGAAACCACTTTATCTCATGCTTGGCTAAAAGATGTCACTGAACATTCTCCTCCCAAAAGAACAGGGAAAAAACTGGGTTTACTGTGATTTTATATATTATTCTGGAGTTTCCTTCTTTACAAAATAAACAGAACTCCTTGCTTTCCTACAGTTTACAGATCCATCAGACAAACAGGATGGGAGAAGACATATCTGACTATTAAGTTGCATGTATTCAGGCCACAGGACAGACTTTATCTTTGCATGGGGTTCCTAAGAATTTTGGAGCCGACTAAAAAGTTAGCCATTTTCTCATGTATAGGACAGCGAATATGTAGAAAGCTTCCAAAGCATGGTTTGTTCAGATCCCTCTTGTCCTTACATTCAGCCTAGTAAGACTTTATCTATTCTTTAGATGGCATAGACATTGGGCCTTCACTTTTGGAGCTGAACTTCCAAGGTTCAGATCACTTTACTTCTCCTTCTAAGTAAAAAAATACAGAGCTAGAAAGCTCAGGGAAAAGACCTGACAAAGGTGATTGGTGGGTTATGATGGATCACAGGCTCAAACAGAGACAACAGGGAAATAATGAATAAACAAGGACTGTTTTATGAGATTAAAACTAGAAATGAATGTAAACCTTCAAAGGGAATAAATTCTTCATATCCATAATGAACTGGTAAGAAATAACGGATTTAAATTCCATCAATGAGTATTCCAACTAGGAAAAAATTGCTAAGGAGAGTGAAGTAAGCCAATTGCCTGGAGATGGCATGGAATCTCCATCAGCAGGTGTGTTTCTGGACAGGTTAGACAAGTATTTCCTATGAATAGCTGATCCTGCCTTAGGATAATTAAATACAGTAGGTGACCTTCTAAAGCCCCTTTCAGTTTTAATTATCTAAGCTTTCAGACAGACTTCTGAAGGAAACAAGTTTTCTGGGATTGTGCTCTCTGTGTCATATTTACGTCACGAGTCAGTAATAGGCCAGTGGAAAGCTTTAACAAAGCTCACAGTTTCCTTACCCCTCACCAAGATTTTGCACAGAAAGAAACGGGAAATAAAGCTTTGTTGGCTTTGCTGCTCCTTTTTTTCTTCTCAACAGTTTGCAGGTACGCTACTGATGTATCACAGAAAGATCAATAAGGAGCACCCTCTCGGTTGACCCCCATGGTCAATTCCTTTCTAAGCCCAGCCAATGATAAGAATCAAACAGGGATTGGGTAGCCTCCCTATTGGATCAACTCTCACTTTGAATGGCTTCAAAATGTCTTTGCAATGCTTCCTGTCATCATCAGTGTCTGTTAAAATTTTTGTTGTTTTTTAAATGGGTATCTAAAAGTAAGTACCTAAAATCATATTTGAGCATCCTCTTAAATGCCACAGTTCTTAAACATCTGATTTGTGAAATGATCTCATATTCCCTTCAATAGGAATGTTTTGAATATTTGTTTTTTAAAACAGTCCAGCTGCATCCTTTGCCTCAGGAAGTCCCTAAACTGGTAATGATTGCTCAAAGCACTTCTTTAGCAATTGCAGATTTTATTTTAAGCCACCTTGTCATGCATGCCTGAATCATGCTGTGTGCATTTGGGTAGCGATCAAAGATCTAACTTTTTTATTTTACAGATTTTGCCTCATTCCACCTTCTACAGGTGGGACTTGCAGGATTTAGGAAGGAAAGGGATTTAATGTGGTGCAAATACTCTTATGTGGATGCTTTCTAAATAAGCTACATTTAAAAGTATCCCCTTTCTTGATTTGTCTGTTTTTGGCTTTAAGGAAAACTCTCCAGGTAGTAACTATTTCAACCTGTTACAAACATGGTGAAGGCAGATGAGTGTCTCTAAAGTATGTCAGCCAATAACAGCCTGAAAAGGATATCTGAAGTCTCCTATTGAAGCGTTACATACTAAAATGCTTCCTGGACTGCAAAATATGGACACAGGAATAATGACAAGGGCTTACACATAGAAAGTAGCCCAACAAAAGCTTTCAACAATCTAACTTAAAGAATGACTTTGTTTACACAGGTAGTGACTTTAATGTAGAATGGGTGAGAATGAGATTCTAGACAAATCTAAATTTTGTGGTGTTTCACACAAATAAGCTATGGAAATGTATCCTTTATGGTTTCCAAGGGTAGTGATGCCCTTCCTAAGAAAACCCTTCTCAACAAGTTCAGTGTACAAATATCTTTTTTTTTTTTTTTTTTAAAACATGAATGGATTAATCCATTTCCTAACAGTCTTTTTCATCTTACAGCTAATTTTCTCTAGACTGAATCAATCTGCTAAAAAAAAAAAAATTATAATGGGATGTCTTATAATTCTTACAAAGAGGAGTTTTTGGAATTTTGCTATATTTTAGGAAGCTTTCAGTTTTTAAGTGCTATTTTGAGGATAAAGTGTTTCAAGTGAAATATCCAAAAATCAGCCAGTCCATTTGAAAATTACACTTGTTTACTGGAGATATGTTATTCTTTTTGAGCTCTTATGATTTAAGGTGTGCAGATAATACAATTACTATTCCATTGTGTTGCTTTTTATTTATTCATTTTTTTTAATTTCAGAATCATCTCTTAAGTCTTTTAGTCTCCAGGAAATCCTGTGTATGCAGCACCTTGAGACAAAAACAGTGAGTTATTTACCTGTCATTTTTGTTTCCTGAAAGTTCTCTCTGAATATTTCTCCTGCATGTAAGGAATTCTTACACAATACCATTATTTTCCCGTCTCTTTTGATTCAGTTTCCAAGTTGTCTTTTTCAGTTTATTTTATTCTCTTGAAGCCAAGGAGGTGACTATCAGTAACTGCATGTCTGAGGCATTGGCAACTTGCCTGAAATTCCCCTCAAGAAATCCTGAGGTCTGAGGAAGCTCCTACATAGTCCCAAGCTGAAAACAGACCCAGGAGTGGGAATTCAGTGATACAGTATTTATAGATGGCTTTTTCTTTTTTTTTTTCCGCTGCTGAGTTGAGCCAATTAGTATTTTCCACATATTTCATTGTCTACCCAATTAATGGAGTTTAGCTAAAGTACAGTAGTTAGAGTAGCTCAGTTATGAGAATCCAAACCTCCTTCTGAGTGGGGAGTTTCTAAACTATTTGTCCAGACAAAGATTTTATTGTCAAAGTTTGACATATTTAATTTGTAATCATATTCTCTACATTTTGTCCCTCTCACTGCATGTTAACTGATAAATTATCAGGGTACTCATCTTCACTAATTCTCTCTTGTAAAGCATGGGATGCTCTGTAGATAAATCATTCTAACATTTAGGCAACTGCAGTGGATTAGAACTTCTGTTTCTGAAAGAGCTCGTTCAGCTGTTGTTCAGTTGTTGCTTCTTTCTGCTGCATCAGCTCTCTGGCTCCTTTGGTCACTCCCCAGCCATCTGGCTTTGACATTGAGGGACAATATGGCCTGCCTGAAGCAGGCTTCAGGTTCTCCCAGTACTCTTTTCTTGCCCTAAATAAAGAAAAGAAACTTGTAGTATTTGTTCCAGCATCTCACAATACTAATTGTGGCTTAAACCACCTTTGCAGAGGGTTGTCTAACTTGCATAGACTGATTTTATATTTCAATAAAGGAAAATGAAAAACATGCAGTGAAATGCTACATATTCAAAAAGTGTCTTGTTATCCCTCAGGAGACACACTGTAAGCCACTCACCATTAGGAGCTGTTTTACAGGAGTCTGTCAGTTTTTATCTTAATTATCATAAATTACTTGCACATTCATTCAGACCAAATTTTCATTTTAAAAGGGAGTTAAGGATATTTGGAGCTCCCTACTGCCCCTTCTTCCCTTTCACTGCTCCCAGATCGGATATAATTCTTCAAAATTACTAACACACAGAATGGTTACAGTGGTATTTAGCTCTCCATTTTGGTTAAGTCAGTCTGCTGGATGGACCTACATAAGCCATTGCAAAGCATATGCTGATGTGTTTTCCAGTTCAGATATACACACCTTGCTCTGACCCAGGGTTTGGTATGCATGCTGAGGCTGTTGCCCCAGCTACCATGTTTCTCAGAAGCTTCTGGCAGAAAACCTCTTTCAGGAGCCAGTTCCTCAGCTATTGCTCGGATGTGATATGGCTCAAATCCACAGCAGCCCCCGATGTAACGGATTCCTAAGTCATAGGCCTTTCTTGCATATTTTTGAACATCCCATCTAGTGACAATTCTTGGCTCCAGACCTGCAAGGACATTCATAGCTTAAATTTCCACTACGCTTCATTTTAGCAGATTTTTAGTAAGAAATCACATATTGAGACGTTTGCATAGCATTTGCAAATCTGGCTGTAGATGAAAACATTTGAACTGTCTGACCTAGAATTAATCATGCAAACTTTCAGAAGTCTAGCTTTAGATGCTGTTACACTTTGGTGAGCTATGCTTGTTGTAAGCTTCTTTTGTCTTGCAAAAAAAAAAAAAAAGAAATCTGAGACTGATCAGGGCCTAAATCACCTGCTTGCCATTCTGCTGGAGTTCTTAGCTGGAGTACTGGACTACTTTGAATGTTACACCCACTTCTCAGAAAAGTTCTGAATGAGCAATCAGTATCTGGGAAATCTGATTACAGGACTTTAATATGTGAAAGAAGACAGTATCAGCTTACCTGCAGCAGGAGTAAGCCTGTTCATTATTCCTTAGGAATGCTTTCTACACTTATTTCCAAGATCAGCTAGCAGCAGTCAGTTGTTTCACTACAAACTGGGATCTGTAGCTATTTCTTAGCCCATCCCTTACTCAGTTACACCCCAGCCATAGTGTGCTGCTTCAAGCCCACTTCATTTCTTGTGGAAAGTTCTGCCTGTAAGTGACTTAGGATAGCTCAGATGCACTCTCGAGTCCCTCTCCCTGTTGCAAGTTGTGGTGAGCAGAGTGAAGGGACAACAGGGTTGAGGGGAAAGACTCGTGGGAGAAAAGGAATAAGGAGAAGAGAACTAACAGAGAAGTACATAGAGAGAAGGAGACAGAAAAGAGGCAGAACTAGAAAGAAAGGAGAAGCTCAAAGGAATGAAAATAAAAATACAGGAGGTAAATCCTTCCCCTTCCATACATACATCTGCAGGAGATGAACCATCATGGCTATGATCTCCACTGGGCACAGAAGCTGTGGTGAGGTACTACAGCTGCAGCTCCAGAAGAGAGAGGTAGGATTCTTCTCCCTATATCTTGTCACAAAAGTGGCTAACATGCAAGGAGAGGGTGATGCAAAGCAGATCTGGGCAAAGTCTAAGGAGGAGTTAAAGAGGCAGGTTCAGAAAATAAAAAGCAAAAAGAAAAAAATTAAATGTTCTTAAACAGAAAGTTATTGGTCTCAGAGGGAAAGACTGGACAAAGGAAAAGTACATGGCCTAATATAGAGAAGGAAAGGCAGGTGGAGCTAGCTTAGGAGAGCTGTTTAAATAAAAGTAAGTTTGTGTGCAGTCCTGCAGTTGTGAGAGCATCAGAAGCACCAATATATTATTGATTCATTCCCTTGTCTCTCATATCAGTAAAAAGCTAATGTGGAATTGATACAAAAGGGATGAGCATAAGAATGCAGCATCTTGCACTCACTTTTTACTTGTAAAAGTGACTAAAAAGTCCAGGGGAACAGTGTAGAGATTTTTCCTGTCTTCTCCATCACCCACCTTGTCACATTCAGTTCTTGTGCTTCAGGAGTGTAAGGACAGCACCAACCTAGCTAGCCTCTCTAAAGGAATAGGGATAGACCACACCATGAGAACTGGCTGTGCATGTTGTGAAACATAATGATGGAGGACAAGTAGTATCATATGAAAAAGAAGTTGCCACCTAGCTCATGGGGGTTTTTCCCCTCTTCCCAAAATTCAGTAACATTCTGTTTTCCATGTCTGCCATTGTACAGCGTTTCTTTCCTTGGCTTTGTTCAGAATTAAAGATCTACACCTTAACAGTTTGGTAATTTATACTGAAGAGAGATTGAAATTGAAATTTTCCTCAAGTTTTAATGAGAGGATTGTAACCTGCTCCTAGATTTAGCTCCTCTATGCACCTACTCCAGAGATAATTGTGTATGCTCTGGCTGACAGGATGTTTCTTTTTAAAAGATTGTCCTTGGTTAACTGGTGACATTTGAAAGCAATTGCAGTAACATAGAAGGGAAGGCACAGAAAACTAGAAAAAGTTCTGAAGATCAATACTCTTGGCATCTGCATGCTGCAGTTTGCCAAAACAACATAGCCAATGTCATAGCCAATGTCATAGCCAATGTCATAGCCAATGTCATAGCCAATGTCATAGCAGCTAAAGTCTTGGTGGCCTGTACAGAGGTTATGTACACTTCAAATGTCTAATTGCCTCTTTATGCATATTACCTTGCACAAAAGAGTTAACTGGGTCAGTTTAACAATGATTTACCAAATTGTTTATCTGCCATCAAGTGACCAGTTGCTCCTTCTGGGTATTGAAAGCATTCACTGAACCAGGCTTCTCCAATTGACTCATGAAACTTCTAAAAACTGAGATCTCAAATTGCTTATAACATGGGCCCACAAACAGAACAAATCAAAGAGCAAATCCTTCAATTCAGTTGATTGCAAGCAAAAAAGAACAGATGCAGTAAGTAATCAGAGGAGTTGTATAAAGGAATGAATAGGCTAAATGATTTTCCAACACTTAAATATCCCAGAATATTTTCAGAACTCAGACATGTTATTATCATCTAATGAGTGCTCAGGCTCATGCTTTATTCTCCTTCCTTCATTTATGTATGAAGAGGAAGGGAAAAAAGATTCTCCTGAAAGTCATATCTACCTCAAATTTTTGTTATAAACTCAAGTTTCAAATGTTTCAATACCACATTTTACAGGCTGATCTTGAGAAGAATGCATGACACCTTGAAAATGAAGGCATTTCCTAATGGATTTTAAAACATTTTGACCGATTTTGTCCTCTTCTATTAAGAGGATATGATTTGCTGAATCCTCAGTGGAAGTATCCCCTAAATACAAAAGCCTTGTATACACATAAAGTGGTTGAATCTTTCAGTCTTTTCAGATTTTTTTCTGATCACATTAGTGATAAATTCATTTCCAAACTGCTAATCCATTTATTAGCAACATCAAATAACTTATTCCCTTCTCTAGTCTCTAATCTTACTTATATTAGACTGTTACACTTGCATGTCTGAACCATTACAAGTCGCAATAATCACGCGCCTATATTAACAAACTAGTTCTGTAATGCATTGTACATTAAATTCCTATACTTCTACACACTATAGGACTTGTGGAACAGATATCACAACCCCAAATGCTGGGGAGCTCCAGTCCAAAGGCACTTAAAGTCTAGATTTTTACTGTATTTGCTCTAGTTCATGTCTTCAAGCTGTTTTACAGCTGTCCTGCACAAGGTTCTATGTATACAGCATGAGGAAGAACAGCCCTGTTCTGCATACCACCCTTATCACATGAGCATCTCTCTCCAGAAAAAAAAGCGGATGTAAGAGTTTGGTCTTGCTAATACAAAAAATAAAAATCAAAATACTTGAACTTGGAATGAAGTTAGAGGCTAGACCTTAATTTAGGTCATGAAAAATCACATTGGATAGCCTCCTGAAAATTCTGACTCCTGCTCACCTTTGAGGTAGCGTTTGTTCCTTGAGTTGGGGATTTACTTATTTTTTAGGTTATCTTTGGTTCGAGTCTTCCTGCATTTTTAAGGGAATAGAGACCATGAATTTGGGAGGGTTTTCTGCAAGAAGCCAGCAGTAAGCAGGAGAGAAGGCATGAAATAACTGAGATAATATGTTGTGGAGACAAAAGTGAAAAACATACTTTTACCCAGGCTGAATTTCTTGGAAGAACCTCAGTAACTGAGTAAATAGGGAACAAATTGAAACTGCAGGGTACAAAGTTCACTTGGATCAAGAGCTTGCTTGTAACAGAAGCAGCAATTCCAAAATGAAGTTAGGCTGCTTGAAATCATACTGGGCACATAATTTAGAAAGTGTTTCACATTGTACTTAATTATACTACAGTTCAGCTCAATCTATTTTTAATATTGTTGGATATACAGTAAGTCACAGGAAAGGAAAACTAATCTCTAATTGCTTAAGTGAGTAGCATTGATATTGGGAATACAGTAAAAGATAATCCAAGATTATGACACCTGAGTAATCAACTGAATGAGTATTGAGGTAATAGACGTCATCTTCCACGTCCTGTTTTTTAAGGAGCATTTCCTATGCTGAGCAATGTTGTCTCTACAAGGGCTGATAAACATGACTGGACTGGGGATTGTCTATAAAATTATAAAGGGGTGCTCTGTATTATAGAAACATTGGTAAGAAATAATGTAGAAATAGTCATATTTTTTACTACATAAAAAACACTTATGAAAATTACATGTTTGGGCTCCAGTAAAGTGGAAGAGTTGAAGATTTTGGAGACTGATTGGGAAAGAGCAATTTCTGAGTTTGCAATGGATGGATTTTTGACCATGTGATTGGAGCTATTTCTTCAGTGTTTAATCCAGCTGGAACAGACACTTGAAATAATTCCAAACTTCATAGAGATATTAGTTTTAGGGAGTCACTGCTAAACAAGAACAAAGATATGTGAGTGTATTCAATTTGATTTCTGGTTTTGTGATAAATGCTGCACTGCAGCATTCAGAAATTCAGTTTCAGAGGTGAAAGAGGTGTCTCTACTGAAGTCCACAGAATTTCATGCACTTAATCAGATTTGAATTTAGGTCATGGCATTAACTATTTTCACCATAATTTAATTTTCAGTTGCATGCTATGATGCATAGAGAAATACCCTCACTATATGGATGATGTACAGCAGTACTACTCCCTTCTTTAACCTAATGTTAAACTGTAAGCCCTCTATGGAGAATGCCAGACAGAATAACAGGGACTGATGCTATAGAACAGAAGGAAGCCTTGCAATCTCAACTTAGCTAAAAATCAGGGGAAAAGAAACAGACAGTTAAAAAAAGATGCTCATGTCTTACCAAAGGGAAATTCAGGAAGATCAATAAATCCCTGCTTCCCACAGTCAGGTGTATGGAAAGCAAGTGGTTGAGACATCAGGTATGCTTTCAGGTTAGCAGCCTCCAAGCCCTCTTTCATAAGCTTTACAGTTTTCAGGCAAGTATCTGAGTCAAAATGGCAGTTGATTCCAACAATAGAAGCACCTGGGAGGAGGAAAATAACTTTTCAATTCACTTTTCAGGAAGTAGGAGGTGAAAGTTCTCAGCCACAGCACTCCAGAAGCTAAGCAGTTCATCTGTACACTACCACTATCTCTACCACTGCCACTACTTCTTAACACAAGGCAGTTGTGTTAAAGCTAACCTCAGCTCTCCTGAGGCTGATCATTCCATTTACATCTCAGTTGTACTCCTCCTTGCCTTCCTGACCGAACATTATGATGAATCACATTTCTCACCCTTGTGCAATTGCCTTTCTTGTCAGCAAGTCTTACCAGTGAAAACAGGTGTACAGCCACATATGCAAACGGCCAGGAGGTTCCTAACACACGTTCTACCTTTGGATTTGAACTCCAAATCCAAAGAAAAAGAGTAGTTCAGAACAAATGTAATAACTCTGCATCATCCATCATGCCTTCTGTCCTCCTTGTTCTGCAGACAATATAGGCTTTGAAAGACAACAGATGAAGTTTTTCATCCTCTTCTCTCATCCTGGATTTGAGCTATATTCCAGATAGTTCAAAAAACAGGAGCAGAGAATCAACGATGGCTTTGAGTTCAGCATGTTTCATAATTCTAAGCCTAGAATTTGGAACTGGCTCTGTAATCAAACTTGAATAGTTTTAGCAGTTGGTCTACTTGATAGCAGCTACCTGTGGGTATTGCCCCTAATACAGCTTTGTTTAATAAGGATTTTTATAGCTGCATTTTTATACTTTTTTGCAAGACTGCTCTACGAAATTGCACATAGATATTATTATACAGGTTCAAAACTTCATTAGATGTAATCAGGACACTACCCACTTAAGATACACATCCATTTATCTTAATGCTTAAGGGCTTTACTCTGTTCCATAATTTTGAAGGGCAGATTAAAACAGATTCTTACCAGCCTTTACCAGCTGGACAGCACATTGTCCAGGTGGCACACCATGCATGTCTCCCTCTGGACCAATGCACATTGTAGCTGCGACTGGCTTCCCAGATTCTTTTAGAACTTCAACTGCCCAGACAGCTTCTTCAACATGTTCAAAATACTAAAATAAATTAGAATTAGACTACTTTCTTTTCTTGGAGATGAACTATAAACACATTAATCCAAATCCAAAATCCACCAACAAGACAATGACTTGAATTCACTAGTGTAAATCAGAAAAGGCTCGCTTACTGCACAGTTAAAAAAGGATAAAGTCAGTAGATGAAACTAATCAAAAATGAAGGTACTCTTGTTCCAAAATAAGAATGCCTATACAGGGGATTAATAAGGGATTTATCCCCAAAGAACTGTTTCCGTATAGAGAAGTCATCATGGGTCGGTTGCTTGCAGACTACAGGAAGAAATAAAGACTAGTCAAGATCACATTCACCTATCCTCTTTGTACTTGGTACAGACTTTGACTTGACTAAGATAGAAATTTAGGATTAAAGGTTCTAGAACACTTGAGGATAATACCATGCATTTACAAAAACACCTGATATTACTGGAATAAAAATTTGGCAGAAGATTTTAAAGGAGAAAAAAAAATATATATATATATACACTTGAATTCCCCAGAGTAGACTAGACATCTAAAAGTTTATATGCTCTATCAGTTGAATGTGTGGGTTTTTTTTTTTTTTTTGTAAATAGGTTTACCTCTGCAATTAGGAAGTCCACACCCTTTTTCATAAAGACTTCTAGCTGCTTTCGAAAGACTGCTTTGACCTCTGCTTTATCCTTGCAGCTTAAGTATGATGGTGTTTGACTGACTCCTCCAGCCACTAAAGCATCACCTTCCTTAGCCACTTCTTTCGCAATGTCACAAGCGGCTTCATTAACTTTCTGGCCCTGTATGAACATAGATCACATCAGTTTTACCTAGTCAGAGATATGCATGTAGTTTTAGAGCATGAAAAGGACAAGAGAGTCAAAAGCCATAGTAAGATTTTCATATTCATTTATAATTATTTTTAAATAGCATTTTTGGGTTGATTAGGGAGATTGACATCTTTCAAAAAAGAAAGAGAAATGTTAGGAAACAAGGACTTGCTTGTCACCTATTCTTTTGTATAAGTATTTGATAATATCATAAGTTATATTAGCTCTAATACCTCTTCTTATACATATAATCCATAAAAAGCAAGTATTTGCTGTGAAATAGAATTTCCTTTGCCTCTCAGAAGAGGAGTTAGGGGAACCTGAGTGTATTTGTTTATGCCTCCATTTTGAGATTTTGTGGGTGGAAGAAAACTATGTAGTAATTTCAATTAATTGTTCATGTCTGTCTTTCATATTTTAAATTTTGTAAATTAATAGAATACTAAAGTAAATCATATTCATATACATTCATTGACATTATTTTCAAAAAGATATCATTACTTATCCGATGGGAAAGTTACCAATTTAGGAAGTGAAACATATCGCTATATATGATTAAGTAATCACCTAGACATTCCCTCTATACCTAAATTAGGATGACTAGAACAGCTTGTAAAAAAAGATGTAAAGCTGTGAAAAAATTTTTTTGGAAAGGATACATTATTTGGTATGGAAAAAACTACTGACCAGAGGAGGTTTCTCTGTGGCCTGTGAACTACTTCCAGCCTCAGAAGCTACATAGGCTTCTCTCAGCTGAAGTTTTTCATGGCTGCCTCAAAAGACCCAGCTGATTTTTAAGGCTATTGGTGACAGAGTGTCTTCCATTTGCATTGGAGCTCAGGTACATGTTTGGCAACTCCAGGAGCAGAGCCATAAACCACTCAGTGCCTGGAGGAACCTGCATATAGAGCTGACAGCAAATCAATCTTGAAAGCTTTGCTGCAATGCATTCCAGTTTCCAGCTACTCTCCTAAACTCATATCATTTTGCATGGCAGCAAGAACTGCAGAATGGGTTGTTGCAGAGGCATCACATTTCTGGGCCTACCACTTGACACATTTCAATGTCCTATCTGTTGAATATAAAGATATTATGTTTCAGATTAACTTGACCATATGACCTTATGCCTGATGTTTCACCCACTAAACAGCTCTCTGGATAAAAAAATTTTTTTTTTTTTTTAAATAAACTCCTGAACTGGTATTTTTACTATCGACACTGAAACACTTCTGAACTATAAAAATAAAGCTATAAGCAGTAATAAAGCATTCATTCTCTCATTGGAACTCATTCAGCTAGTCTTGAAAGAGTTAATAAAAATGTAGGCTAAATATGGGCACATTCTAGATGGTTATAAAAACAATGAGAAAAATACTCATAAAAACGTTGGTTCTGATTCCACCCAGTGAAGTAGAACCAGTCTGTTTAGAATCATTCCTACACCAGTAACTTCTAAGCTGTTCACAGTATCTCAATATTCATAATGACCAATGCTTTTCCTCCTTAGGATATGAAGGATTCTGGTTCACTCTACTCTGTACAGAAACAGGGTCCAGGCTTATTATTAACTGGAAAGAAATATGAAACTAGACTGTTATACTAGCATAACAAATACATCTGTATAACAGATCTGTTTTATTCAACAAGCCACCCACATTGGTGAGAACTGTCAAATATGATTTGAGAACAATGCTATATATTTCATCCTGATACGTGCAACAGTTTTATGGTAAAACTGACTTCTTAAGCCTCAAAAGTTTCTCTAGTGTCCTGATCGCTCCAGTTTCTGGGTTGGGATAACTTCACAGCTATAAATTCTTTCCTCTTTGCCCCCTGAAGAATCCTCCTTATTTGCCAGAGGCTGGAACAGACAATATGACCATAGGGGAAAGAATGAGAGAAACACCCAATGGCAAATCTTCTAATCGCAAAGCAACTATTTATTTATATTTATGCCAAAAGCCCCAGTGGATCTGGGACCCGCATCTAGTGAAGGTACCCAACATTCTCCAGCACCCATCTCCTCTGTGTAAAGGGTAAGAAAACACCATCATGCTACTTCCATTGCTGCACCAGGTTACCCCTGCACATGAGAAGGGGAATTTTGACCATAGTATATACTTTGGATTTATTAGTTGTTACTTTATTGAAGATATGATTTTAAAAATCATGCGGTTCTTATTAGGCAGTCATTATTCTCTAGGATACTTCATTGTTCCTCTAAATGTTAAAGCATTTCCTTTTTTCAATTGATTTTGTTGTCTGTGCATTTAGTACTCCCCATACTCTTTGCATCAAAACCCCAAGAAACTAATCTCTTCAAACTTGAAAAGGTAGACATCCTCTTTCCTCTCTTCATCCTTGCCCCATTTTTTCATTTTTTTCCCCGCCCCCATTAACCTTGTCTTTGTTACTATTCCAGACTATGGAATCATATTAACTCATTCTCTGGTCCTCAAATACAGCTAAATCTGTTATCAGAAGCTGTGAAAATGCTCACTAATCTCTCTACTAAACCTTTTCAAATGAATCCACTTATTTCATATCTCCATCAAAACAGTATTTTACTCACAGTTATCTTCTCAGCTACATAATTTCCCCTGTTCTCTAGTTTGTCGTCACTGGCATAAAAGGTAAATGTCTGCAGAACGTTTGATCCAGCTCTGAGGAATTCCCGATGAAGCTGACGAACTACAAAGAATTAAAAGAGGCAAGGAAGAAACAATTGGTACAGTTATTGCTATTGTTATACCAAAATTAAATGTTTAATGTTTAAATGTTTATTCTATACTATTTTATCTTTGTTCAGGAAAGAAGTAGTAGTACTGGAAAATAAGTGATACTGCATTTGCTGGAACAGCCATTTACAGTATGAGTAGGAGCAGTACTACATGCTACATAGAATTCCTTTCTTCCCATTCTTAGAACATTAAGTAGAAAACTTTCTCCTCTGCTAAAAGTGACCAAAGAGTTCCATTTCACTTCATCAGTAAATTCACTTTTGTCTGCCACCTTTCCTATCGTCTACTTTCTGCACTCCTTCAGACCTCCCAATTTCACTTTAGAACTGCATAATAGTTTGGAAAGGGAAAGCAGATAACTGGCAAAGTGAAGTATAATAAGGGATAGCAGATAGAAAGATCAGCCAATGAAAGAAAAAGCCATACCTTCCTAGCTTCTAAAAAATGAAAACAGAAAAAAAATCTTGGAAACAAATGAAGGGAGATGATATTCGTAGGGAAGAATACAGTGTTCCATTGTCTCCTCTATTCTACTAATTTCTTCCTTCTACACAACTCAGCCTCTGTCAAGATCAAAGCTCTATTTTGCTAAGAACATATTTTTAATTAAAACATGACTGGTTGTTCCAGAAAAGTGAATCCCAACACTGACTTAGTTCTTCTCATAAAGTTATCCATGATGATTTTACTACAGAGCCAAAACTTTTGAAGGAAAGGCTGGCACCAGTCTCAGTGGCCGTTTCCTGTATCAGCACTTCGGGAGCAGGCTCTCTAGAAGTAGTTCTGACTTTATCGCTCTGTAACCAGTACATTGCAGTTGCCATAGTAGCAACAGAACAGGAACTGTCAATTGATTTTATGTACACTCATAAAACAATAATTATTATAATTGATAGGACACTGCTGATCATGTGAAACCAAGTTAAAAAGCTCAAAAAAGCTTATGGCAAATACATGAATAATTTATTCCCCAGATATTGTATTCAGACATGAGAACACTGCAGTTTCTATGGCAGACATTTAAGATGTTTTCCCAAAGTCTCAGTTTATAAGCCTCATTGTCTACAGATAAATTGTGTCACTAGACAAACATGTGAATGAACCGTGAGAATAAAATTACTGCCTTCAGCTACAACAAACAACCTTATACACCAGAGGAGCTCAAACAGTAGTCGCTAGAGTAAATCTGCATACACATGAGCAAGTCTGCTTTCAGCGAGGGAACAGCGTTCTTTGCTCTTCTCTGCTAGTATAGTATTTCATTTCTAATAACAGCTTTGAGTAACCACACTGATCTAATATAATGCTTCTTATGCCAGTAGGCAAAGAGACTTATTCAGGAACATAGATTGTAGCAGAGTTGCAGTTCAAAAAGTCTTTGGAATCTGCCTAAACTATCAGGATCAAATTTCAGCCTAACAACCTTTACGCAGAGTAAAAACAGTCCTAGTGCAGGGAGTATATTTTTTTCATACCGCATTTAAATAGTCTATTGAACCTCTCTGTGCATTTCTAATGTCTTGTAGCATGCTTTTCTCTTCTCCCTCATGAAACAACAATAATGAAAACTAGTCCGGAAATGGGAAAAAAATCTGCAGGTATTTTCACAAATGCTCTGTGACACTTCTATAATAAACTAGATTTATTTACTCCCCTAGTTCGTGTTCTTTAAATATGATTGTGGCATCCCTGGAAGAGTGCTTGGGATTTGTATGAATAAGGATGGTGACATAGGTGGCAAATGAAGCAATCTAACATATACAAATAAGGAACTTGCTATCCCAAACTATCAGGTATGTGAACAGCACGCTCTTGAATGTGTCTATATTTAGAGAGACAGAATGGAAAGTATCAGCCTGAATCTTATTTGATCTCAGGGAGATAGATTTTACAGCTAGAATAGAGTTAAAGTTATCACTATCAAAAAACTCAAACCACCCTATAATTTACATCTTGTGTGACTTCTAGCATGCTACTTAAGCTGTCTTTTCCCCCACCATTTAAGAAATGGGGACCAGAGCTACATATGAAGCTAAAGTTCGCAATTTGATGCATCTTAGAAGTCAGACATACAACACTGAGTTCTCATTTCAATCTACCATGAGTTGGACATGTCACAAGAAAAATACGGACTTAAGATAACAGGAGATGGGGGTATTAAGTACGTGTATACATTTTATGCAGTACAGAGCAGTAGCCAAGATACCTGATCCTGCTCGAAACAAATATTCAGGTCTCATTTCTGAATGTGTCAATCTTGCAAAACTTCCCCTGCCACATAACAGACATAATGGTCTTCTACTCACTAATTTTTTTGCGTTCCTTGCTGCATTCTCAAAGTCTCCATCCCTTTCTCTCTCTCCTTACAAAGTGAAGGAGGGCTCATAGTTGTGTGGCTTTTATACCAGCTGGCCTAGCCAGTTGCTCCTTCTGTTCTTCACACCTGCCCTCAAAGTAACATGACCCTTGAGAATGCAGGAGCAAAGAGCAGTAATGGAGGAGAGGCAGCACGCTGCACTGAAAGAAATGAATACGTTTCCAGTTAAGGGTATACTTATAAATAGCCTGTAAAGGGCTTATAAAAATGTTACAACCATGTTACAGACATGAGCAATACGTTCATAAATAGCTATTTATTTATTTAGCATAAATAGCTATCAGTAGCAATTACTAGATGGCTGGGCTAACCTATGACAACTAATCACTTAAATCTCTGTGTCCATTTAGCTTATTTAAGCTATCTAGACGTTTCTCTATATAAACTATGTAAAGAAAGCCATCTAGCTCAACAAAATTTAAGAAGTTACTGAAGGCACGTATTAGCGAGTTATCTGTGAAGCATCATCTGAAAACTAGAGTTCACTCTCAGTTAGAAGCAGCATCTCAGCAAGGCAGATGGTTAATGCTGTCTAGATAAGTCAACTGGCATTAGCCCATAACCAATAGACCCTTCTTAGATTGAATCACTTTGTAATATATGCACTATTTATCAGATGTGATAGAAGAATTAAAGAGGTCCAGAAAAAGGTAATTAATATCGTTAGAAACAAATGATTAAACTTGCCGTGCATAACTAGAAAGGCATTTCTATATAGAAACTCTCACAAATACAGAAAATTGAGACAAAGAATACTCTTTGAGGCCTTCCAAGGACTTTGATACATCAGTCTAGTTTACTTGGGAAACACAAACATACTGGTGAACAATAGAGGAAAACAGAAGCAAAATATGCCGTGAGCATTAGCAGCCCAGCCAAGTGCTTGAGAATCATTCATAGAGGGGCCATCCTGTCCTTACTAATCCTTCCCGTTTCCCATCACTGCCTCTTTCTCATGTGCACATAAGTACTTGACGCAGGGACGGTTACGGTGGTGCCTCTGCTTCAAAGTGGCAACCTGGCTCCATGTAAGGCCATGCCTTACATTCCCCACGGACTGCAATCTACACTTCTGGGTGAAGACTTGTGGAGAGGATCAACAGCTTTTGAGGTGCAAGAGAATTAAGCAAAGGGGAAATAAGGGGCATGGAAAAAGTGCTATGATTTGTAATACAGTATGTGCTAGGAATATCTGCTGTGGGGGCAGAAAAGGATACAGATGCAGAGAGAGGGGTGATGGGATGCGTTTTTGGGAGGTGGGTGCCAGACAAACTAGGTCATTACCCTTTAACTCTTAGCTGGAGCTCTGCATTATGCAAGGCTGTCCCTGACCTAAGATGGGCATGTTTCACAAAAAGAGGTACTTGATGGCTGAGAAGGGTTAGTGTGAATAAATAGGTAAGTGGACAAAACAATGTGATAGAGAAGGCTGAAAAGCACTCTCTCTCTCTCTCCTCTTCCTCCTTCTCCTCCAGTATAGGGGAAAGATTAATTTGGAAGGGCATACACCTAAGATAGAAGAAAGAAAAAGCTTTTTTCCCCAGGATATTCTGAATTGGCTTGTGGGATTAACGGCATGTGATATTACTAGGACAAATGCTTTCTTGTAATAAAGCATACATAAATAGATAATAGCATCTGCAATTGCACTATTTATGCTATACACTATAATCTTTATTCTATTAGGCATTTAATGATTTTGCTTTGTCTCCTGCAACGTAGAAAATTACTCCAGTAAATGGGAGAGGCAGGAGGATGAGGTGAGACCCTTGCCACAGCAACTGGTGCAGCTTTATAGCAGTTCTTAGGTTCTCATGAGGTATATCATTCCCCTTTTCACAGTGGAGCCAGATGCATTAAATACTCCTCTTCCATTCTATTGTTTATTTAAAGTTGCTATTTTCCCAAAAGAATTAATAAACAAACTATATTGGTTTGTAACAATATAGACGTCCTAGAACGGTCAGAACACAACAAAACAGATAGTTAACTGTAGAACTCCAGCATCACAAGATGTTGTGATAAAATTTTATATCAGCTCAAGGACAAATTACTGGACAAATTCCTGAGGGAGAAATCACTGAGTATTATTAAATACCCTATCTGGGTCACAAAGTCCCTTGGCCGCAAATTATTGAAGAATGGGAGAGCATTCTGGGGAGGTATCACTGTACATTTGCACTACTCATTTTTCACTGGCCAACTGATTTTGGCCAGTATTAGAGGAAGAACATGGATCAGATGAGCTTTTGGTCTGTAAATTCTAAGCCTGTTTTTAAGGGTGTGTCATTCTACAGTGTCAAACACCACATCTACTTAAAAATCTGCTATGATTGCCTATATTTTTATTATATACCCAACTATATTTACCTTCACTATAGGATTACCATTTTCCTGTAAAACTGACCTGCTTCTGGGTGCTCTACAGTTGCTTCAGGGGTCCAAGGCCCAGCTTTTACATATCCCCTCTTTTCCAGGGCAAAGACAAATCCTCCATCTCCAATCACAATTTCGCCAGCATCTAAGCGCTCTAGAATACCCTGAAGAAAGCAGGGGGAAAAGTTAATAATTACAGTTCTTCAGCTTTGCAGGCTTTCCACGTCTCTCCATCTCCTGTATTTGCAAAGATGACATAAGTATTTGTGGGCTACCAAAAACATCACTGCCATAAAAATCAAAAACAATCATTTTTTTCCCTAGAAGTTCTCTTTTAAAGAATGGTAAATGGTCTGTTTTACAAGAACATAAGGCTTTAACATATGCATATATATTACACAGACTTTTCACTAGTAAGTTTTATTACATTTCAGAGGTATGGTCCCTTGAACTGGAAGTCAGTAGTCCAATTTCATTCCTATGAAAGTAAATGACAGTCCCAACTTTTCCTGTGAAACATATGTGACATTTTTTAAAATGAAACAGTAGTATTACTGACCAATTTATAAGTTCTTTGGTTCTTTAGCCACAAAGATAATCTTAACAGAGCCGCAGCACAAGGAGCTTGTGACACAAGATGGCACAGCAGAGGTATTATAAAAAGTACACATGTAACATTCTCCTAGCACATAAAATACACCTCAAAATGCTGTGATCCTGGCCTTCATTTTCTGACAGGCTATTTTCACTGGCCTGGGTTTGCTTACCTAGACATACAAAATGAAAGAAAATCCTGCTTGTTTTGCACAGCCCAGAAATGTTTTAAGATGCCAAATTACAAACATTTCAGCATCCTATGATTAACCTTGCTTCTGCCTTGAAATGTACTCTAGGGCAAGGAAAGATTTTTTTTTTAAAACGCAAAACATAAAACTAATATATATCAACTGAACCTAAAATACATTTCTGCTGTATTACTTTCATTGCTGCATTGCCTTGTTCAAGTTTTCCACAATGTACCTTGCTATTACAGAGTATCTCTGGGTGCTAAATTCTGCAGTTAGATCACAACCATAATTCCATTCAAATTTAAAAAGTAGATATATGCAGATTCATTACATCAACATAGTAGTGAGTACAGAAAAAAAAAGGTAAGACTGAAATTATCCTCCATAGATATCTTTTCTGATGGCATACTAGCATTTACTGCTTTAGGCAGTAGTGAATGAAATTTGGAGGGAATTGGAAATAAAAGCCTTATGGACGTACAGTTGAGTGTAGTTTGTGTACTGAGCAGAAAGGTTTTCCAATATTTAGCCTCCAACCTTTAAATTATCTTTCTTGATAATTCCTGCTTCGTTAATTCACTCATCTCAGATGATACATCTAGGAAAGATAAACATTTCAAACTTCTCAGCACAGCCCTTTAGGAAGGATGAAAGCATGTCTTTCCAACAAGAAGGAACACTGTGCCAACTATGCCAGTTCCTGTACCAAGCAGAGTAAGGCTACTCTGAGGCTATGAAGTCTGACTGACAGGGTCAGAATTTTTGGCTCAGGCAGCAACATTATGGGGCTTCTCTGCACAGCACTGCTGTGCAGATATGAGCTTGGGCAAATGTTCGCTCGCAGACCTCTGCCTCACATTCCACTGCACATTGCAAACTTGCCAAAATATTGACCTCATGAGCATCATGACTTTGAGGAAGTATGCAAGCTCTTATCTTGATTTTAGCAGGTCTAGGGCAAAACTCAATCTACAACTCACTAACTTGTAGCAAGTCTCCCAGTCATGCCTGTCTATTAGGAAGATTTAGTTGTAAAGTATAACAGTTGGGAAGCTTTGTAAAGATTGTGTTTGCCGTTAGCCAATTTGCAGTTGCAACAGAATGTCTCAAACAGGGCATGAAAAAGCCACCCAAGGGATCACAGGGATCATCGAGTACCTGCTTCTTCTGCCTCCCAAAGAATCTTTTGCAAGAAGAGGCTGTTTCAGAAGTCTAATACAGCAAGAACAGGAGTGCAGGGGGAGAAAATCTTGAATGCACAAGCAGCCTCAGTGGTTGCTTGTAACTGAATAGGTACCTGTTGACATCATATATGGGCATTATATTTCCATGCACTGCATTTAACAGATTTTTTTTCTTTTAACAAGTCACTTTCAGGATTTAAAAGCAATATTGCTTCATAATTCTAGTATTTTTAAACAGTTTAAAGTAGTATTCGTTTTTGACGCACAAAAGCGACATAGGCCATGACTTAATATAACATGGTACATGAATACGTAATATGTTGTGATAAATTAATTCTAGCATCAGAGCATCTGATAGCTGATCAAACGTGACATGACCATATAGCACAAAGTACTTAATACAAACTTACTTTGTTCAGATTCATTCAGAATGGAAATAATTTCTTAGCAGACTTTATGATAGATTTGATATCATCTCTTCACACAATTTTAACTTTATCTATACAGGATAAAACACTACTGGCTTAACAAGCACATAGCCAGCATAAATTCAGCGTCAACACTGTTTGCTTCTGCTCAGCAGAAGCAAAACCGTGCTCATGCCTGATTCAGATCATATTTGTATTGTTAGGTGATCCAGTAGTACTCATATCTGGTATTAAATAACAAGAAACAATATCTGTAAAAAACTAACCAAGGCTTTTTTGGGTTATCTTTTTACTACTTCACTTTTGCTACCATGAATGGACTTGTACTAGTTCACACATCTATCCATGAAAAGAGTGCAGATGACTATATAAAGAGATCCTCCCATCCAGCTTTAGGAATCTAACTGAACCCTATCAGTGAAAAGCCTGCTTGAACTACGTACGTCCTGTCTTTCCACCAGTGGAGGGAAAAAGGTAAAAGGTATCTCAAAACAGCTATTCAGATCTTACGTGAGCCCTCAACCTGTCCGTTCCTTGTAGAGAGAACATAGAGCATTTATACTCTTCTGCTAGGTGTCAAAAATTAGGTGGCAAGGGTACACGCCAAAAAATAAAGAGCAGAACAAGTGCCTTCCCACCTCCTTCATTCTTACAGCTGATCTACCAGAAAGGCCCAGAACTTGTACAGTCCTTCCCACATCCTTCTGTTCTCTTGCTGTAGCCTTAGATGTTACATACATAACAAAGAAAAACATATCTGAATAAGAAGCATACTATTAATGATTATACTGTCCTTCTGACAGGAAGATGGAATATGTGATCCTACTGGCCCTCCAAGCAGTGGTGCACAGTGGCAGTACTGGTCTGAAGTCAGAGTTTGATTTAGACATTGTTCAAATGTTTGTCTTAATGAACAGAATAGATGATGCCTGAATAACTTTTTATTCTGGTTTATTTCTTTAGCTAAATGAGAGTGCAAAGGGCATGCATATATTGGAGATTACACTCCTATCACAAAAACACTGCTGGCATTTAATCATATAAATCCAGGGAAAAGCAATTTAGGTTTTTTAAATAGATTTGGCAGGATGCTGGAGACAGAAATCCCATCCGGTGAAGATTTATACTTATAGCACCACATTTATAGTTTTAATGTGTTGCAAGCACTGTTTATTTTGCACATCAAGCAATATTAAGCAAAACATTTTTTGAATTTCAGTGGCTTCAGCCTGTATATTCAGAGAAACCAAAATTCTAAGACATAGCTGTTACAGCATTAAGTTCAATCTACACTATTTATAGATCGTAACAGCATCCAAATGGTTTTAATGGCTCTATGCTGCACAAGTATAGCTATTATTGTGTTTTTACTTGACCTTTTCACCATACACCCTTAACTGCAGAAATGCTGAGACCCTTACTTGTGAGTTTACAGGGCACAGCTGGCAGGCCGTGCCGCCAGTTTTGCAGCAGGTCCCGGGCAGGGCCCCGGGCAGGCCCCACCGAGGTCCCGGCCCGCTCGCAGAGCCGAGCTGTGCCCCGGGCTG